GTTTTAAAATACATGAAAATAAGGTGCTTAAATTAGCCAACAATCAAAGAGTGCAGACCACTGGCAAAATTTCTCTGCAAGACTACTGCAGTTTTAGTCTGTAAGGTCCTGTTTCTCCTCCTCACCTTCCTTGCTACCTCTGCAATGCACCACTGACATCTCCAAACCCTGCTTTTCCTCAGTGGCACTGAGGCTCTGCAGATCTTGTCCTTGGTTCTCAAATCCCAGAAGCCACTACCCTTCATCGTGCCACCTAAACCTCCTGAGGGACCCAGCACCAAAATGAGCATTCCCAGGCACTTTTCCATCTAACACCCAGGCTTAGATAACTACCACCACGAAACTAAATTTTACTTCCCTGTAAATTTAGGCCATGATGATAACATTAAAATTCCACTTTATTGTTTACCTGCACTTAAGGCTAGCCCTGAAGGCTTTCAAGAATTCCTGAGAATGTAAGTACTTGGCATTATGGCTTTAGGATAAAATATGGCTCTATTTTGCACATTATTTAAATTACCTTACATTTTTTATTTCCACTGTTGTTAAATTGTAATGAATTTATTTGTTTATGGAAGTGTGCACTGCATGTCTAGTACTGTTCTGTAATAGCTGGATTTAGAGCCAGCCTCTGATTTCTATCCTAGACATCATTAAACAATTTATTTTCTGTGATAGGGGAATGTGCTCTTGGGCAAGAGCTCTCCATTAATATGAATTATTAACAATATGTATATACATGCATTATGGATTTAAAAGATGAAAAGAAAGCTTGCCAGTTATTCTATGGAGCATTCTCCATCCACGAGGCCACTGAATTTCAGACAGCTGTCTGCTGAATGGTCACAGGCAGGGAATCCCTGATGACCACTAGGGTTTTGCTTTCCCATTGCTAGAATTATATGCAGTGCTTCAGAACAAAACTCTCTGGCTGGCAATATCTGTTCAGCCCTGCACTGCTCCTCCTCATTGCAAGGTGGAAATGTAAAGCAGCCAACACCTCCCCAGACACCCATGCTCCCTGGAAAGGGGTCTCAGCCTTCACTGCCATCAAAAGGCATGTAGTTTTATTTAAAAACATCTTGCAAAGAGGGATGTTTGGGGAGCTGCAGCATTGGAGGAGAATCGTGTCACATTTAGCTGCTCCTGCTGCTGCATCTCTCAGCCCCTCCAAGCCTCAAAAGCCTGCATGATAATTGAAGATGGAGAGGTAGCTTTGATGTGCCACTGTGACACAGCAGCACACAGAGCCTGGTACACCTCCATCTCAGGTCAAACCTCTCACCCACGCACTGCACTCCTCCACTCGTGCTTCCCTGCAACTGAAAAACATTCTAAAGAGCTGTTTGTGTCTTTAACCTTCCCAGGTAATCAGTCCCCGAGCTACTGCAGGATTCCTGCGTGCCACAGCCCATGCTAACGCTGCACTGGGCTGAGGCAGGAAAAGCAGCCCTCACCATCCTGGGGTTACAGGTACAGGTACCCTGTGACCATGGACCTCATAAAACGGGAAAGCTGGACAGGACAGAACGCACATCCAACCAATATGATTCATGCAACGTTCTCCCTTTATTAGAGAGAAGATGGCAGTTTTTATACACTTCTATATAGTTTACAGTTTACAAAGGCACTCTGATTGGCAAGCGAGCATTGTTTGTCTTTGTCCCTTACACTATAAACCTAAACTACTTCACACCCAGACAGCCCAGTGCTCCCCATCACACCTTAATTCAATTTCTAATTGTGCCACAAACTCTTAATTTCTAACTGCATCACAGGCTGGAAGGCCTCACAAGGCCCAGATCTGAGGCCTAGGCTGGAGTAGCTCAAATCTCATTCCAAACATAAATCGTGGCCTCTCTCTGTCAGAAATGCTGCAACAGTACCCCACCCAGCATAATGGAATAAAAAGGAGGCAGGGGGGTTCTAGAGATTAATTATCATTAATTTCTACAGGCTTGAGTAGAGTTTATGGAAACTGTCTTTAGGAAGTCTTGCAGCAGTGCCTCCCCTCCACCCAGCCTCATTTGTAGCTCTTTGCTCCACCATCCTGCTCCTGAATATTGGCAGGTCTGACCCCCCTCATCCCTGCCTTTCCCTTCCCTCCAAAAGTAAAACCACTTTCTGTTGTCCTTCGAGACCTTCTTCAGAGTAGTAATTCCTTGTGCATACTGTCCTACACCCCACACAACACTGCTTCCCTCAACAACCTGCTGCCCAAAATTCAGCTCCCAGTACTTGACTGCTGAATCAGGGCTGCTTTTTCTTGCACAGATGTTGTCTATGTAAGGGTATTTTACATTGTATGTAAAATACTATTACTATTGCTCTTTTTATTCATTATCAATTTCTTACCTTGCACAACTCCCCCGTTAAACCTTTTGTGATCGACATTCTGTATCTCACCCCAACATTTAGCTTCTATTTAATCTGCTTTTTGCAACCTTAATAGCATTTTGCCTTTTTTATTAACCAATTACACATCCCATGGCCCACATCACTTTCTGGAAAATAAACCACAAAATACCCCACCATTCAAGATTGGGTGTCCTCTTACAGCTTCAAGAACAGAGTCCTGACTGACCTCTGCCATGAGCAGACAACTGCACCAACATCCAACAGAGCTGAGGAAACCCAGCTGGAGACCTGAGTCTTCTTCAACTGGTAACACTGGAAGAAAATAACTTCATTTCTTCTGCTCCTGGAGAATGACAAGTTCAAAAAAGGTGAGCAAACATGCAGCTGTAGGCAGTGGCAGGGAGAGCAACCGGCTTATTTTGCACACTGAGGGTTTGTTCCATGAATAATTTCTCCACGTAGAAAAGGGACTTTATTAAGAGCAAATTGTATGCAGATTTTCTCCTGCTAACCTGACTTTTTTTTTGACACTGATGGATTGACAGACCAGCTGAGGCAAGCAGCACTGCTAATTTCAGTGGTGAAAAGATACAAAGCAGAGCCACCCAATAAAAATCAAGTGAAATAACTTTATGCAACTTCCTTCCACCCTCAAGAGGAAAAGATGGGTTCATTATATTACAACCACTTTTTTTCCTAATTATTCTGTGTCAATATTCCTTCCTTCAATGATTTCTTCCCTTCTGCTATGTACATCTGAAATAAGATATTCTTACCACTACTTAACTACACCTAGGAAAAAAAGAATCCTAAACCAGTAACCTGGTACATGAGTACAAACACACACATGCACACCTGTAGATGTATAAACACAAAAATGCAAGTAAGGTTCCATTTCCATTTACAATCCCACAAAAAAGTATGATTTAGGCATTGTCCAATCTCCTACAGTGATTGCTTCAGTGGGCATTATTGACAGGGAGGATAGATGTCACTGGATTCCACTGTCATTCTTGCCAGCACTCTGGTGACATAAAAGCCATTTATAGAAAAGTCTGTTGCATGCAAGAAGGTTTGGGGTCAAGTTACTTAGGCTGTTAAATCTGAGTTGGATTGCAACAAAAAATTTGGGCGTGAGCTGGGCTTCACTTTCTCTGTAATCACAGTAGTGCAAATACATTCATTTAAATGAATCTTCTAATTCCTCCTGCAGGTTTCACTGGATTAAATCAAGGTAAGACTGCACTAGAAGTGTAAAATTTTTCCTTATGACATGTAGGATTTTGAATGTTCAACACTTACTTGCTGTTTCTTATCCATGGGAAAGGTACACAGGTGTGTATCCAGCTGATTTAAAAACAAGTATTTTCAAAATTATTTCCCTGTTTGCTGTTTCTTTTGAGGAAAAAAAATTTCTCTTTTAAAGTCTCATTCATAGCAAACAAACACCACTTCTGATTTAACAACCATCTTTAATTCTTATAAATAATACTGTATTCATAGTGGGTTCACATTTGAAGCTTACTAATGCTTTTCTCTACAAGGATTTGCACATTTTGATTTTATCCCAGCAAAAATAAAGACTACTGCTGCATTTTGTTACCTGCATATTGTATTAATATAGTTCTACTTATTTAAACGTCTAAGTGAGCCCGTACAGGTAGAGAAATCAACATTCCCATGAACTGTTTTTCTCTTTGGTATTAGACTAGAAGGTGCATGTACGTGTTTCAAAACACTGATGATACAGAACAGAAATCTTAAAGATATAACTTTATAGTCATTAATTATATAAACGACTTGACAACAAAGAAGGCAGAAGACTGATTAAAAATTGATTCATTTTCCTTTACTGGTTTGTGCTCCTTATCACACCTTATGAAATTATTATTTAACTGAAAGCAGCAAGTACTAGGCAGTTTTAATAAATAAAGAGGCCTAATGCTTCAGGTCAAAATAAATCCTAAGTAACACTAATGGCAAATCTTTCTTAGATTCCATAGGTTTCTAAAAGTCACTAACAGGTCAAAATTTAGACTCAGGGTAAAAATTCTCCCTAACTTTTATAATATCCATAAAATAAAAGAGAAGCTTGAAGCAAAAATAAGTAATTTGTAAAGTTGGTATACACTAATTATTGCAGATGAAAGTAATAAAATAGCCTGGTTCATTTTCATAAATAAGCAAATTCCCATAAACTCTGATAATCTTAGTCACAGAGAAAAAGAGAAAATTTTACAGTGTTCCTGAAGTAAAGAGGAGAAGCAAGGACATAATGTACAAAACCATGCCTGCTGCAAATACTAAATCAAAGTGATCTATGAAATAACACACACATTTAGATAGTCAGTCATATTAATTTAAAAATATTCAATGATCTTTATACAGTAAAAATGTCTTTACTTTCAATAAAGAGAGTTAATATAGCACTGTAATATTTTACAGCTGGTAGGCACATTGCATAAATGTGTGCACTGCTACACATACACAAGCCTTTAGGCAACGTACAGTAATTGGAGAGCAGAAAATGAATGTATGGAGTTTAGAACATGTAGACTCTGAGCACCACAGCAAAATACCCATCAGATTAAAATTTACCACCTTACTTACATAAAAGGAGCTGTCTTCAAAATACATTCACATGGTCATAATATATTGCCTTAATCTGGGGCAGTTAACAAAACCCTGGGTATTGCAGCACGAGTGATTTTTGGTAGTAACAAACATAAGCCAGAAGCTGTACATAAATTTACACCAAGGAAGAATCTGAACAAATATATTTAAAGCTGTATTTTAACTGCAGCATATCAAGTTAATATTATCATAACGGAAAACAAGTATTTTGAGGGAAAAGCACAGTTGCAGCAAAGAAATTTGTCAGAAAAATTATGTCCATGTGATCTGTTGTATTAGCATCACATCATCATTTACAGGAGTAAAGAGAATTGGATGTTCCAATTACCTTTTAAAGCTTTGTTTCAATACCATACCCAAAAGGACTCTTACACGTGCAAAGAGTTGACAAGCTAATAAAAAGTTATCATTTCAATAAGGAAGACATTGCTTCATGACCATTTTGTTGTTTGATTAATCTGAAAGGTAAAAACGTTCTCACTCAATGATCCTCCCTACAAAGTGTTTCCTTTCCCAAAGTCTGTGACCTGCAGTTTCTCCGTGGGCCACAGCCCATTGCTCACTCGCGCAGAATCTGAAATCTGGTGATTTCTCCCCAGCAATTAACAGCTCGTGCAGCTTCTAGATTGTGAAGGAAACCAAATTAACAACCCCGTTCTTTGCATATATTGGCAACATTTTAAAAGTTCTGTGTACTTACAGACAAAAGAGACACAAGACAAGAGCCCAGTTACTCCCAAGTGTCCCTCACAACGTTCCTTAATGCCCAAGAGCTCCTCTGGACCGTTATTTCATGGCTCACATTACCTGAGAAATGGAATGTCCCCAGGAAGGTCAGTCTGGGCAGGCTGCAACTTTCTAAGGACCAAAATAAAGATTTTCTTCTCATCTCAATGGAACAGACTCCTTTTCAGAGCTGCTCTGGGAAATCACAAATTCTCTAACTTCACATAGGGCTCGATCCCAAGGTCTAATTCTGTTGCCCTTTGGGAGCAACACTTTTACTGCTTGCACTAGGAAGAAATCCCAGTAAATTCTAAATTTGGCAAAGTGGCCAGGAGGATAGACAGTCTAGATCTGTGCAAATTTGTAAATTCAGAAGTAAGTTACTTAGATTTAAGAAATTTGGTAGAATTTATTTAGAATTTTTTTAAAAATCAATTATTTATTACTTGCAATAGTTTTTGTTTCTAAATTAGATTACCAATTTATGGAATAAAAACACACATTTAATCTAAAATACTAGATAAAAGATACAAAAAAAGAACTACCCTTATATAACTTACTAGAAGTTATGTATTTAATAATAAATCAGAAACTCAAAAGAATATTTCATTAGGTAATTTAATTTAGTGTGTTCAATTTGAAATTTAACTTATAATTTATTTTTATACTACTTTTGCTTTTACATATGAAGTCACATATACAAACAGTTCTAGCATTAAAGGCAATACCATCTTAGAAAATTATTACATTTTATGGTTATTAGTCTTTTATTTTAAATAGTTTATACACTATTGAACAGCAATTACAGTAGATAATAAAGAATTGTGCAATGTCTTAAAACTGTTTAACAACCTAAAATAATTTAAATTGTAAGGAAAAAGAAGAACTCAAAGCTGTTGGAACATTTTGGTGAAAAAATGTGGACTTCCAAGTTCACAGATGAGATTTTTCAATGAAAATTGCAACTGAAAATTTTTAATTGGCTGTTTTTATTCTGCCAGAATGTGCAACTGTATTTGTCCTATGTGGATTCTTGTTTTTCTTACTGTACTCTGCAATGAGATGGATTTTGTCTTTGACGGGAGATCAGAACGCAGGGCACGGTGTGTGCTGGCTCCCAGAGAGGAGGGCAGAAGGGCAGAGGCCAGGACATCTCACCCAAGGGACCCAAGTGACCCAGGACAAACCTCCCACTTCCAACAGAATCCAGTGCTCGGCCACAGGAGGTGGTGGAGACAAACACCTTGTGCAGGCAGACTCTTGAAATAAAGGAGGATAAAGTCACTTAGTCCTGTATTCTTTAGGTACCATGTGAATAGAAATGGGCATTCACCTGCAGCTGGACCTAGAGAAAATATGCCTTCCCTCTGGCATTACAGGGGTGGGTGCACCCCACTCCCACTCCCTGCTGCAGCCTCAGGTGGGGAATCTGGGCACTCTCCAGAACCTGGCTGCTCATCTGCTCTTCCTTATCAACTCTTTGCCTTTTAACACAGATTAGCCCTTTGCAACCACACAATATGGGAAACTCACGTCCCTGGAGCAGATGACTCTGTAATCACAGTGGCAAGATGTTGTCTGCCATAGTTTTAATGTAATATTATCCTAAAATTGCAATATCCATACAGGTAAGCTCTAATGCTATGGATGCAGAAAATAAGATCCAGATATATATGTTGTAAGATATAACATTACTTTGCAAACTGTTAACGCCTGTAGCTATTAATATGCAATGTATATTAATAATACTTAGAATTCTCTATTCTTTCAGTTCAACTTTATATGATTTTATTATAGTATATAAAAAGGTGAAAAGAAGTAATTAATTGGGAGAGCCTATCTACCTTTTATCATGGAAGGCCTACTTCTAGCACTAACCTTCATGCTGCAAATCCTTGGCTTCACTCACATGATAACACTTCATTTTAACTCAGAGGGATGGCTCCATCTCAGAATGACTTCTGCTTTTATTCTGGACCGTCGCAGGCATGGCTCTGATATACCTCATGCTAAAGCAAATGAGGAGATTTCATCAGCTAAAGCTGGGTGAGATCTGACAGCAATGAAAAGGCTGCAGAGGTAGGGAGAAGTCTCTGAAATACAGTTAGAAACAATGGCGGTATATTATTACTTCAATTAACCTCTACTCTGTGTTATTCTGCTTCTTTAGTGAAATGCTGCAGGAAGTAGAGAGGTGAAGTGAGGTAAGAATTTCTATCAAACCCTGGTGGGTTTCATGACCTCCCCTTCATTCTGCTGTGCTCCTGCTGCCTTCAGACACTGCCCAGCAGCAAGGACTTCTCTCCAACAGACCTGTGGGCCATCAGAGAAACTGCTTGGTGGAACCAAGGCTCTACCTTTCCACTACAAGCAATATTCCCTCGAAACCAAACTGGTGTCAATATTGGCCTTTCTTCCCCTTCCATCACCAGCATTATATTTCTTACATTGCCTTTCTGTGGTTTAGTATAATAGGGATCAGCTCCACCAGTCAGCAGTGTGTGCACATAGTACAAGTGGGCAAAATTTGTCATGGCGACATCAAGCTGCTAACACAAACACATCTATTACCCTTTCTCTCTGGCTTGGTGAGACAGCTGCCCTCGAGGTATTGGCCTCTGAGCCTTCCTGATAAATCACTGACGTGTAGGAAACCTGGTTATCCCAACATAGCAGGGGCAGAGGATGCTATTCAGCTGCAGAAGGATATGGAAGAACATCCATGAGGCTTATAATGAAAGATTTTTGATATACTTAAGTAGTTAACAAAAATTTATTGCAAGAGATAGTTTGTCACTAGATTTACAGTTTCAGAGAACATAGTACAAAACATAGTGCATCAGCTTTGTCTAAACATTAAATAGGTGCAAATACACAAAGATAAAAAACAAAAAGTGAATACTTTACAACATAAGTTATAGAACTATAAATATATTTTATATACATTATACATATTCTAAGACATGATTTTCACATATATATATAGAGTTCATAATCAGTATCAGACTATTCAGTGCTTTAGCGATAGTATAGGTCCGAACTTGCCATGAACGTTCGTTGCATCATTATACTTACAGTAAATGCTTCCCGAGGAACGAGGGATTTTAACCAGTTTAGTTCCCAGAACCGCTTTGCAAAGCTCGGGGCGGGAGGACTGCAGAAACAGCAAAGGCTGTTGGTGTCCTAGAAGAGCGGCTGCAGGGGGATGACAGCCGGGTGCGGGGCCAGCAGGGAGGGGAAGACGGCGTGCGGCAGCGGGGGCAAGGCCAGCGGGGCGGGCGGCAGCGCCGCGGGCGGCAGCAGCGGCAGGTGCGGCGGGGCCAGCAGCGCGGCGTGTCCCGCCGGGCACAGCCGCGGCGCCACGGCCACGGCGGGCAGAGGGGCTCGGGAGAGAGCCGGCACCTGCGACAGGAACTGCTGGTGCGGCTGCAGCAGCTTGAGCGCGCCGCCGTGCTGCTGCAGCACGGTGTGCTGGATGGTGGTCACCGAGGCGGAGCGCAGCGGCGGCGGCGGCGGCAGCGGCGGCTGCACGGCCGGCGGCGCGAAGGCGAACTTCACTTTGCCCGACAGCACGGACTGCGGCACCATCTGCTGATACGCCTCCGACGGCAGCTCCTTGAACTTCTCGGGGCTGTCGGGAGGGAAGAGCAGAGTCTGCTCGGGCAGCGGGAAGGGGGCTATTAACTGCTCGGTGGTTAGAAAGGTGTGAGTGTTCACGTGTGCTTCTTTGAATGGCAAGGGCGGCGGGCTGCTGAATATGCCGGGATTACACTGCACCCATTCACCGGCCACCTCACCCATTTTCTCGTGCGGTAGAGACTCGGCCAACTCATAATGGCAAAGATAGGATTTAGGAGCGCTTTGTTCCAAGTGCCTGTTGGGGACGGGAACTTTGTAACGGGCTTGACTTTCGCGGCTGTTGGCATTCTCCTTTTTCTTTCCCTCTTGGGGAGCACCCTGTTTGACTGCAGCTGCTGGAGCGCTCTGCTCAGGGGCGGCAGAAGCAGCAGAACCTGTGACGATGCCATCGGGAAGCGCGGCCGGTGCGCTCTCCATCGCTGCACACGCCGCCGGTTTATCGTCTTCCAGCACCTGCGGGCCAGCACTTTCCAGAGGAGGCTTGCTCTCCTCCAGCTCCATTGTTTCATCCCTATCTTTTGCATCCGCATCTCTAGGAGCTGCACTAGTTTCCTCTAGATTGTCTTGAGTCAGTAAGTCCCCCATAATATTTAACGTAGAATTCTCAGAATTTTCTTTGGAAGATTCGGAGGTCTCGCTTTTTGTATTCCTGTCAAGGAAAACGTGATGGATCCTAGTCTTCCTTTTCCTGCGTTTCCCTTTTGCCTTGTGATAGGCACCTAAAGCATGTCCTTGCCTTAGATATTCCTCTGCTGATAAGGCCTGTCCACAGGAGCTTTCATCCGAGGAAGAGGAATAGGTGTGCTGCCTCCGCTTGCGGTGGGGTTTCTCGGGTTCTTCTGTCAGAACATTGTAACCTCTCTTTGTGGACTGGTTTTGGCTCAGCCCCTTCTCCTCACTGCATTGTCCTGAGCATTTATGCTCTGGGCTACAGCTTGACCTCCTGGCTTTCCAGCTACAGCACCTTTTAGAGTGCCTGAGGCTGTGCCTCCTGGAGCTCGGCTGCTTTGCCTGCCTCCGGGAGCTCGCTCTGCTCTTTCTGTGGGGTCCCTTACAACCATGGTGATGGCCACTGTTTTTTGCACTCCAAAAGTCACACCAGCCTCTGTCCCAGTGTATGTGATCTGATGCAGACACAACTCTCTTAGGACCATTTTCAATGCCGAATTTTGGCTGTGACTGCTGCACCTCACCTGCACATAACCAGATATTTCCTGCATCGTGCCTGCACTTCTCTGCATTATTTTGGAGGTGCTGATATTTATTTTCATCTCTATAAGTAACTTCTTTTTCAGTAACTGGAGACATCTCCATTTCTGCTACTGTTGTGTCTCCACAGTGATGATAATGACAATGACATAATTTTCTTCTCCTTTTCCGTTTTCTGCTTTTGTGAAGCCATTTTTCATGGCCTTCTTTGATCCAGACTTTGTTGTATTTCTCATCTATCACAGTGTTTTGTCGTAAGGGGTTATGAGATATGTGATACTTTTCTATTTTTCTAATCCTGAATGACTCATCCAAGGACACTTTGTTTTGATTTTTTGCAAGGTCACAATTTCTGAAGAGGGAAACATCACTTAACAGGGGTATTGTATAGTTGCACACATTTTTATTCACTTCTACTTCATAATCACCACACTCTGAAGGAGGTCTTTTTGTAAAATCTGAGACTAAGATATGATCAGATTCAGTTTTATGGTGCAAATGAGGTATTTTTGGTTGATGCTTGGGCTTTTCTTGGCTTTCACTTGCTCTTGATGACTTAAAATCAAAATATAAAGGATTACAGCTGTAAGAAATTGATGGGTCTGTATTTGTGTAAATTAACATTTCTGATGGCCACTGAAGAATATTTGATCCATATTTGCTAAGAACAGGAACAAAGGGCTGACAGGGTCTCTTGTATATGTCCGGTTTGCTCTTTGGGGCTCCACTACCTTCTTCAGAGGGGGATGGAACTGCTGCATCAGCCCCCAGATTTTTTCTTTCTGTTTCAGTTGCGGGTGGATCACTGTTCCCACCATTACAACTTTCCTCTGCAACATCCTGCAGAGAGGAGCAATCCTCCACAAGTTCCTGCACGGGAGCTCTGCTTGCCTGCAGCTCGTGCCCGCTGCTGTCCAGGGGCAGGACCTGGGCACTGTCTGCAACCAGGGCCAGCCTTTGGTCCCCTAATTCAGCCGTGCCAACATCCACACCGTGGCCATCCGTGTCTGAGGAGAGCAGCTGCTTCGAGTGGGACATGGCAGCAGGCAAAGCTGGGCTCTCCAGCACGCTGCTCCCTTCACTGGGCAGCTCTTTTGACTCCTGAGCTTCAGGAGCTTCTGCTGTGTCTACGCATTTTTCCACCAGTGGGTGAAAACAGTTGTGTTTCTCCTCAGGGCACACAACTATTTCTGCTGCTGAAGGAGACTGAAGGTTACACGTTCCCGGAACAAACCTGCTCCTTCTGCTAAATCCATGTTCCATGGAGGTCTCCTCATTAAACTCATAGAAAACAGCAGCTGAAGACTCCAGCTTGACTGCTGCTTTCTTAGGAAAAGCAAAGGAGAACCCAACTCTGTGTCCTTGAGTTCCTTGAACCTGATCTCCACATTTGTTAGGGTCGGATTGATGACTACCTGCATCTCCAGGAGCGGAAGAAATAACAGAAGCAATGTCTTTGCAGTTCTGTGCATCATGCATTAGTGTACAGCTGAAATCCTGGCTCTTGGCAGAATCTATGGCAGCACTTTTGGGGATGTCATTGCAATCATCTCGCACAGTCACTGTGGTGGATTTGAACATAGGGCCGCTTCCAGGAGCACTAGGAAGGAAAATGAAACTTTGAGTCAATACTGTTGAGAGAACTGCTGACAGAAACATGGTATTACACTGGTATTTAAGGGAGCTTTTTAAGGAAACAGGAAGACTCTGTAGATATGTACATTTAGACAAGAAGAAAATGCCATCTTTTATAATAAAGATCAGTTGACTAGTACTAAAAAAAAAAAAAGATGAGTAAATGTTATGATCCCAGCTCCTTCATGTGAAGTTATCAGCTGAAGGACTAATATTCCTACAAAGTAGTTAGATTTTCCTAGCCACACTGGCTGGCCAAAGAAGAAACTGTCTCCACAGAAATCTTGCTTCTCTTCCCAGCAGACCACCATGGTTACACTATTACTACAGATTGCAGTTTTACATTCCTTCATTTTACAAAATACATTAAAACAGAGAGTGCTTCATAGAGCACTTCCCACGCAGTCATCATTCTAGTGACTGGTGTTCTGCCCACAGGCAATCCCCCAGCAGCTCCCATCCTATTTGTGTGCACAGACCAAACCATCGCCATCTCAGCAATTTCTTTCATGGAAAAATAAAACTGGGGAGAGGATTTCAGTTGGCAGAAGCAAAGTAAGTGATTCATCCCTCTTGAGAAAAAAATTTATCACTGTCTACTTCTGTTCTTCATTTAATGTCCTCTTCCCATCTGTTCTATTTGACTTAATAGGAAGCAAAGGGAAGAGCAAAAAGTGTAGAAGCTGACAATTTTCCAGGATCCACAAAAACTGCTCAGCACTAGGAGTAATGGACCTCTGTTAAAACCATTTGTTTGTTTGTTGTAGCCAAATCACTCTGTGCTACAGTGCAGAGCAGTACTCACTGATGAGTCACTGGTAAAACTTTCAAGAGTCATTTAGGACCCCCAAGTAGTGCTGAGATGAAGAATAATATCTTTATCCTATCAGGTCTAGAAATTAAAGTAGAAGTTTTATGAGAAAGGAATTCCTCATGAGAATTCCTGTCTTGCTCAGTTCTTTATAAATTTGAAATGTATATTAAACCCACACACAAATCCTTTCTTTCACAGAGAAAAAGGGTGACTTCTACAGAACCAGCCTAGATAATGCCAGTTTAAAATATCCTATGTGTCTGCCTATGTCACACCTCTAAGGATGCAAAGCAGTACTAAATAGCAATAATGAAATAGATAAATCAGGCTCAGATAGAAATTCTCCTTCAGGAACTAGCAAAAGGATATTTAAAAAAACCCCAAATAATCCAGAAACAACAAAGGTTTGAAAAATCTGTGCTTCACTAGCATGGAAAAAGGAAATCAGTAAGTTTCTCTTTCCTCTTTCTCATGCAATATGCAAAATTCAGTTTTTGGAAGATGTTTAGGAGGAATGATATCTAATTTACTCAAGTATAAAATATAAACAGTTAAAACACTCATGGAGGAGAAAGAGTCTCCACATGAGTTATCACCAGAAGATTAAAAAGTTAAGTGTTGTGTCTCTCTTGTCAAACAGACCCCACAACATTCATGTCTCATGCACCTGTTCATTCAGATTTTGTTTCAGGACACTGTCCACCATCCAAATACAGATAAAGAGACTATTTCTGAATAGGAGCTGCAGCTTAGTTGGACTTCTCTGTTAGTTCATCTTTGGGGGAGTGAAGGCTGAATAAAGAGAAAACATTTGCACATGAACATCTACATTTTTTCCTTCTTTTTTTCTCCAGAGATTACACTGTGACAAGCACATATATTTTTCAGTGGTTTATCAGTGTCATAATTGTGTCATATTTTGAGAATTCAGTCGCAACAAGCAAGCTTAACACTAATTTCAACAACTTGCCTAGATACAATACCAAAAAAGTACAAGTAGCAAGGACTCACTTTTGCAGAGGGAAGTAAACACTCTGCTGAGCAGGGAAAAAGGAGTATTTACCTTTTAATGTAAAAAAATCTGGCTACTGAGATCTAAAGCTAGGTTTCTGGATGCTTTCCCAGGCGAGCATTTTGAAAACGAAATCGCAGAGATCTGTTACATCCTAGAGAGACAGACTGTGTTCCTCACCTCATCAATGAAGTAGTGTCAGCCTGCAAATGCATGACCTAGTTCACTCAGCTTTCAACCAAAGTGCCTGGTTTTATGAAATATATATGAAACACATTTTTTTTTTAAGCTAAAAATATGTGTCATTTTAGCTCAGCTGAAAAAGCACTGTTAAACATTCATTCCTGCACACAGTGTGAATCAAATCCTGTGCACAGAACGCTTCCAGAACACTCTAAAAATTCATGTGTGTGGCTACAGCCAAGGGTCTCCTGCATCCCCCAGCACCAGCTAACAGTGGAGGGCTTATTTAAAAGTATATTTGCTGTTTGAGCAGCTATGGACTTACCAGGTTCTCTCTTTCCTTAGCTCAGCTAGCTTGTGCAAACGTTGAAGGGCTTTCTCCTGTTTTCTTTCATCTTTTCGTGACTTAGATGCTACATTTCGAGCAAACTCCCTCTGCTTCAGTTCCTTCAGCCTCTGCAAGAAACAGCCACATAATGCACATAAAAACCCCTGGGATGAGAAACACTGTAATGACTCTTACTTGCTGGGAAGTGCCCACAGCATCAATTATTCCAAACCTAACCATTCAACAAATTTCAGGATTTCAAGGGACTAACCAAAATACCTAGAGATAGGTTAGCCAGGCTAGAGACAACCTAGCAACTTTTACTGTAGCTTTTGTGATGATGTAGATCAGCCTCAGTAGGATGAGGCAAAGTTCACCCAGAATTTTGTTCATGATTCTTCCCCAAAACATTCCCCACAGCATAACTGCTTTTTGAGATATCAATAAAAAATGAGAGCAACACAGGTATTTTTCTGCAAGGCCTCTCAAAAGCCTATTGACCCCCCCCCCAGATGATATAAAAACTGGAATTTTTCTGCCTGAGATGCTGGGCACGGCACTTGTCACCGCTGCTCTGCAGAAGGTCCCTGTCTTCAGGGACCTTCCAGCTCTTCCCTTGAGCTTCCCACAGTCCCTCTGTCTCTTCCCTGCCATGTTATCAGCATGCCAACACCTGCAAAATTCCTGAGAGCTTCTGTGCTGTCATTATTAGAGCTCTTAAAGGGTCCTGACCCAGCAGGGATCTCCAAGGGATGTAACGGACAGAGAAGTGTTGTGTTCTGAAATGGGGAGATTGTCCCTTTGAAGGAGCCTGTGTTTCCTGCTCTCACTGGTGTCTTACACAGCAGTTGTGTTGGAATCCTGGATGCTGAGAATTTTAAACTTTCTGTGCTGAAAGGCACAGACCCACAACAGAACACTGCATTTGACTTGGGGCTGTGGAGAAGGCTTTCAAAATTGATTAACATCACTGGGATTACAGGTGTATAGTTGGTTAGAAGTGTGTAATATCACAGGATGGAAAACTTAAGAGTTTGGAGTTTTAGAATATAGAAAAATATATGAAGCAAGATGGAGGTTTTAGTGCAGAGGCAGGTTGTTATTTTTCACCTTCTTTCTTCTTCATGGGTTTGGGTGATATTTTGTAATTGGACAGAAAAGTCCACACTGAGGGCTTTGAGGGGTCAGTTGTTGGGTTAAAGGGAAAATAATCTAGGTGTCATTTCTTTCTTGGATAGTTTAGTCTAAAAATACCTTGTAACAAGAGATAGTTGGCCATTTTATGCCTTGTTAATGAATGGCTGCAGAACTCATGGCTGTGAGGCTGTTTCACTGATAAGAAACAATAAACACCTGAGTTTGAACATGAAACACCCTCTCAAGTGCCTTCAATCCCGACCTTGACACAGTTCTACAGATACAACCAGGATCTCATGGGATTTTATCTCCAGCCTACTTCTTTGGAGGGAAATGGAAGTGCTCAGCTCTGACTCTCCACACAAAAAGGGAATCTCATTTTCTTTACATCACAGAAGGACAATATGCAGGGCTGTCCTGTTCTTCATGCCATGTATTCCAGTAAGTCCCAAACCCCACTGGTCCTCAGTGTGCCCTGATTTTGGCTCACAGTCTGATGCCATCATCTTACAAAACAATTATCTCACAATTCTGGGAAGAACCCAGTAACGTGCCACCCCTTTCAGTGTCTAGGGCTAATGACTGGCTGTGTTGTGGCCACAATGATTTGCAGAAGCAAAAACTCTAACTTCAAATTGTTTGAGGAGTGTTAAGAGCTTTTGTTACCACTGCTGACACACATAATAGATACACAGCAAGACACTGTCAGCAGTGTCCTCCTGCTCCTTCTCAATTATTTTCATTTCACCCCTTTTGTGAATTTTTCTTTCCCCTTTTCACAGAAAGATACGTCACACATACCAGCTGGTTCTTGGTGACACATGGCTTAGTTTTAGGTGATTCTGCAAAGGGGCAAGCAGTTGGACTCCATCATCCTTATGAGTCCAACCCAGCTTGAAATATTCAGTCACACACTGAATTAGTCTTTGCCATTTTGGGTGACATTAACACTACTTGGGCAGCCCATTCAATGCCAAGAAATAAATATGGAGAAACATTCAGAGAAACAAACTTGCAAAAAATAAGTGCCACTCTCTATTTTCAAGTTTTGCATTCTTTTTCAAATGCCTGGATATCCTTGATAGATAGAGAAAAATAATCTGAAATGTAATCACATCTTCCACCATTTATATTTTATAAATATCAAAATTTTCTACTGATAAGAAATTTGTTTTATTGTGCTAATACAGTATAAGGTTATAAGTACACTCAAAACTAGATGTATGATATCTTTTTTCCCAGAAAAAGAATACTTGAAGTGTGGAGTATCTTTGTTGAACATATCTTACCCTTCTGCACTCTTGTTTTCCTAGATAGCATGATACTGACCCTGCCTCCCACTAGCCACTCATGAAACCTGAAGTACTTCATTTCATAGGCAACTTCTGAGTACTCAAAACACAAGAGAAAAGATGAAATTTGCTCCTTCCCCTCCTCACCTCCAGCCCTTGGCACTTAAAGAGAGGATTTAATTGCATTTTGTGGAGCTCAATATTTTTTCTGTGTGTTTTTCCCCTGCAGTGCTAAGCAAAGAAGTAAGTGAGAAGTAAGGGAACAAAAGGAAGATAATAGGGTGCTGCCTCACACGGTTTAAAAAGGAGAAGCTGAGGTGTATACAAATCCATAATCACCTCCCAGCTGCAGTACTTTTCTGCAATTACTGGGATGATTATAATTAGTGATTCGAGTCTGACCAGATTCTGAACCCTTTAGTCTTGCTAAGTTAGCAGCACTCCACGCCTGTTCTCAGTTTTTAAGTAATTAATTTTTTCTCCTTGGATGGCTACAAGGAGGGGTGGCACAAGTTTTGTGCACTCAGCCTTTGCCTGCTCTTCTCTTCTGGAGAACCCAGAGCTCCCCTCCTGTCAGACCTCCTAGTAGGTACAGCCTCCCTTTTCTGGACAGAAAACTGGTCTTAGCAGAAAGTGGACGATTTTGGGCTTTGTTTCTTTTCTTCTCACAACTGGAATCTCAGTCTTTCATGCAGTGCTTTAACAGTCTGCAAAGAATGTACTTGGCAGCTCCTGAGGTCTTTATTCTGCAAATGCATTCCAAGTGGAATTCCTCCTACTTCTAAACCACAAGACATGCACCTGGTGCTTAAAAAAAAAAAATCAATTTCCTTTAAATAAAAGATCACCTAAATGAGTAACTGCGTCCCCTCCATTTTTTCTTTTTTTCATACTGTAGCTATTTTCTACTTTGTTTTTTTAGCCATGTGATGAACAATCATCACCTGCATTCCCTTCCTGCACTCAGTCATATTTGGGATTGCTGGCACTGCATTTATGTTGCCCTTAGTTGGGAAAAAATGCTGGTTTCACTTGAATTATGCAAATGAAAATGAGATATTACCCAATCATACCATTAGTCCATGCATTCTTAGCACCAGAAGGATCCCCCTAAAGATGTTCAAAGTAAGTAGCAGCAACAGAAAAACAAGTGTGTCTTGTTCCTATAAACCATCTTTTCCTTATCATTTTTCTGCCTTTGCCTGTGGCAGAGCTGCTCACTAATGCTAACTTCAATAGCTAGTTTAATGCCTGTAATGTTTGGGTTTTTCCATGGATCAGTAGGCAAATAATTAACAGGCAGGGATACTGTATTGAATTCCCTCCTGCATTTTCCTCTGCTTACAAAGCAGCTCAAAAACCTGTGTGACCCAGCCAGCAGAGTTCAACCAGCAGTTCACAATGAATAATTAAATGACATTTCTCCAAGAGACTTCAGTGCCTTCATCATTATCCTGATACACTGCCTTGCCACGTTGGAGGTGCAGAGCACGGAGCCCTTGGTTTGCAAATGACTTTGCCCAGCCTGAAGGGATGGGAAGCCTGACCCTGACTCCAGCCCTGTGAAGTGATCCTGCAACTGGGCTGCTTTCTCTGGGAGCTGGATTGTTTTAACAATTCCAACTGTAACACAGGGCCTGAAGCAGAAATATCCTAGCTATTTCTAAAAGACTGTCAGATATCTTAGTACGCCTGGTACATCGTGCTGAGCTGAGGCTCGTCAGTCCAGATGAAAAGCAGGATTTTACAGAATCCTGTGTATCTATACATGGATGGAACTCTCCAGGAGATGGCCACAGGAGCTTCAAACTCAGGTGTAGCTGCACTTCACTCACAGCCATAGAGCTTTGGTGTTCCCAAGCTTGCTGGGGAAGACAAGTGTAAGAAAAATCAAGGCAATCCTAAGAGGATTTCTAACAGGACCCCATTCCTGGTCTCTTCACTTCACCCTTGTCTTCCCCATGTACATTTCATTTCAGCATGCTGCTTTTCAAAAAGTTTACTAATTCTGAATTTTCCAATTCTGGGTTTCCTGATTATGGGTTTTCTATTTCTCCCCTGCATTTTATAATAGAGAAGTCACAAGCCCAGATTCTGCTGCCAGAGCCAGGTGCCTGAAATCCTCCCCTGGATCAAATCCTCTCAAAACCAAAGACACATGATGGCATTACATGCACTTACATTGTTATTAAAAGACTTCTGCCACACTGAGAAGCAGCTGTTGGCTTTTTGTTTTAAACTCAAGGTTTAAACACTTGTGGTATTAGCCCTTTAAACTAATGGACCTTCAAAACACAGAGAAGACATTAATTAATAAATAGAACCAAGACAACAAAAGCATGTAAAGGCTGAACAGTGAAACCCAATGTACATGAATACTAGGGCATTAAGGTGTTAAAATGAAGGGGAGAGGATAAAACCCAGACTTAAATAATTTTATAACTTTGAACACAACTTAATTTTGTCAGACCTGACTCTGAAGAAAAGCAGTGAGATTTTTAACAAAGGTTATGAGACTGAAGGGGAAACCATAACAAGCATCAGGATTGATAAAGGCTCTCTCTGTGGTGCTAATATCCCACAGAAAAAACAGCCATCCCACCAGCACAAAGGCATCATCTAAGGACTGCTTATTCACGCAGGCTCTCATAAACTACCCCTGCAAAGCTTATCTAGGAACAACTTTAACAGGGTCTGGA